AAAGCCTATCAATCTAATTGCCATTCTAACATAGGTAGAGAGAAAACCCCCTTTCTTTCTTTGAAAGAGGCTTTAATGCTGGGTTTTCATGGGTAATTCATTCTCTCTTCGTTAGGTTAATGCATGGCAAACCTCCTATTTCGTATTAGCACCTAGGGTTTGGTTGTGGGTGGCCGTCCGAACTCCGATTCGAGGTTGAAGTCAAACCAATCCTTAGTCAATAGGTTGAGAGAGTCACAATAGTGTCTTGAATCGTGTCCCTTTTCTCGACCTAGAGACTAAGAGGGTAGCTTTGGTTACTTGTTAGACTTCCTTGCGGGTTATAACCCCCTCACCATACACGGGCATTCGATCCATCAAGTCGTAATTGTTAGCTAGGGGGAGCAACACCCAGGTGAAGCCTTCTCAATTAGTGTCAAAACCATTTCATCTTTGCAAGTACTTTAGCTTTAGATCTTTGGTTTGTAGAATTTTGATAATGCGGAAGATGAAATGACATGAGACATGAGATTTTATGTGGTATCCTCGATCGATAAATTGATCAAGACTAATCCACGATGAGCTCGAAAGAGCTCACGGCTTATTTCTCATTAGTTTTACATTTTGACGCATTGCTATCACACAAGTCGATAGCTAAGCTTATATAGATAAACCTAGGGTTAAAACCCTAATGCCACGACTAGGACAAGGCCCAACAAGGCCCAATACTAACATATTTTAAGTAACCGCAACACTCCCCCTCAAGCGAAGACATGAATGACAAGAATGTCGAACTTGAAGAAGGAAATGTGAAGAACAAGCATGATGGCTTGAATAACAAAACTCGAGATGAACAACATCTTGGACTAGGTTGATTGGAGACAAATAACTCTATCTCTCTCTCTCTCTGAACAACCTGATGATGGAGACGGTTGACTGCGTCTCTTGAACTTGAACACACTTGGTACATCACGGCTGACCTGATGACTGAGTTAGTCGACGAACGTATGTTGACCTCCTATTGCCACAAGAGTGAAAGAAGCTGAGATAGCATAATTTCTCCGTGGAGTAAGCTCATTCACATCGAATGAGAAGAACCACAAAATTCCTGTGCCGTGTTTTTTTTCCTTCTGCGTTAACAAATCTTATATTGTATCAGAGCAGATCTGTTAAATCGAAGTTTGCATCATGGCAGCTGGCGGAACTGGCAATACTGCAGCCCTTGTTGACAGCTGTACGAGCGAAGGAAACCCTCATCCGACTGTCATACCTTCTATGCTAAGGATCCAGACATCGGACAATCCTGGTCAATTGTTCGTGGGCGAGCTTCTGAACGATTCCAATTATGGGTAGTGGGTCACCTACATGACTGAAGCCCTAAGTGCAAAAAATAAGTTAGGTATCGTTGATGGTACCATTGCTAAGTCGGAAATAGCAGGTGATCTGCGCGAAGCTTGGCTGCAGTGCGATGATCTTGTCAAGGGATGGTTGAAGACGACCATGGACAAAGAGGTTAGAAGTTTCATTCGTTATGCTAAGACATCAAGAGAGATATGGGTGGATCTTAAGGCGCGTTTTGGCAAGGTATCCGCTCCACGAGCCTATGAACTGAGGCAGATGATGAGCACGTTACGACAAGAGAAGTTGACCATCTCCACCTTCTACACTAAGTTGCGGGCTATCTAGGAGGAGATGCAAACCATTACTCCAATTCCGCGTTGTACTTGTGGCTTGTGTACATGTGGAGTTGAGAAGAAGGTGGTAAGCAACTTAGAGAACGACAGGTTATTTGATTTTTATTGGGAGCAACTGGTTTATGACATGGTATCAGAGCTGGTTTGTCCGTGACAATTTCAGTCCCTTGGAGTGAAGAATTTCCTTAAGAAGCGAATTCCCGACGTGTATATGATGATGATTGCTCCTTCCCATGTTTTCCTCTATCTCTCTATATATGGAGTAATCTTTTCTCTCACTTGGGTACGAAGCACCTTTGTTTTGTATGTTAGGAATGATTGTTGTTTGATATTTGGTTTGTTAAACTCGATATTATTTATCCAATTGAGGTTTTACTCATGAATGTTTTGAATCTTGATCGCACTCCTTCAATTATTGCTTCAACCTACGAGAGGGAATACCTCAATAGGTTGATAGAGTATCTTCAACTGGTTGGTGTGGATCGATTGCATGAATAGTGAATTGGTTCACTGCTTTTGTACTGGGTTTCAATCTACTAGTAAGAGTCTTTGTTTTATTGCCTTGTGATTCTATTCCGACTAAGGATAATCTTCTTCTGGATAGTCTATTCAAGAGGATTTGGTATACTTTAGTTGAGATTTCATATGAATTTCGGGCTCTCCTTAGTAAAAGTAGCGAGTGGAATGACCTAGGGAGTAAATAACATAGGCCTAACTAAGGACTGGGGGGAAACATACTCGGGTGGCTTTCTCACATATGAATTCGAACCAAACTACTTGATATGCTTCATTAGTTCTAGTAATCATTACAATATGTTTGCTAGATAATAGGTAATTCATTGCGTAATAGTAAACTTAGCGACCCTGGATTGACAATTAAAACTGCACTTCTATTATACTATTTTTCGATCTTTTGTTGCACTTGACAATTTATTGGAGTAGTAGTTTTAGTGAGTTAGGCTTGCAAAGGCCTAAATAACAATGAGTTATTCATACTTCATTGTTTGATTGGTTAGTCTAGTGGCATGAAACGAAAACATACATTAGCTCATAGTTCTTATTGCACGTGGTGAAAACTCGAATAACATACCTTTGGTTGAAGGATAGGGATCACAATAGATCAATGCGTGCATGATCATCTAGATGACACATCCTATACAAATGTCATTTATTTTGCTTTCTTCTGTTTTTTTAGTTTTGCGTTGAGCTTAGTTAGTAGTGCCAACCATCTAATAGGGAACCTCAACCCATTGTATTTATTTTCCTTGCATTACCATTCGAACATAGATTGGTAGCTTTAAGTAGTTATTATCAAAAGCTCTGTGAAATACGACCAGTCGTCCCTAGACATACCTAAGAAATGTATTACTCAGATTGCAATACTCTACATATTGCATAACCATGTTCAGCTTCATTCACCTACTTGTCACAGCCTTAAAAACTTATTAACGTATCCAAAAATAGTGAAATGAAACAGGTAATCAAGCTCAATCTCATCTCATGATTGTTGGGTCCAATCATGCATGATTAGCAAGAGATTTAAGGTTTTCTGCCAAAGCCTAGCCATGGAGTTTCCACGTCATCGTTGTTGTCGTAGATAACGAGTCCACCGTCGTCGAGTTGGGGGAACCCTAGTGTTATTCAGTGTTTTTCGGAATCGCAAACATGCTCCAAGATTATTAGTGAGGAAATTGTATGAAGCAATTTGACTCAATTGTTTCAAAATGAATCAATTTGATTAAATTGCCTCGTTTGACAACACAAAATTGAGATGTAGCAATTAGAAGAAGGTAATTTGAATTGTTTTTTTTTTTGTATCAATTTAAATCCATAGGAAATGAGATAAATAAGGATGATTTGATGATTTGTAGAAGGGCTAAATTACACGTTTGGTCACTCAAATTATACAAATCTTTCACGTTTGCCACCCGAATTACTTTTCTTTCTTATTCGCCACTAACTTTACGAATCGTTTCACGGTTGGTCACCGGCCGTTACACTCCGTTAAGTTTGTCCTACGTGGCAGTCAACTATAAAGTTTGACCGTTAACTAGATGACGTGGAAATTAAAAAAATAATTTTTTTTTCTTTATACCTCATCATTGCACTTATTTTGTCTATATAATTTATCATATTAATAATTTAATAAAATTTAATAGATTATAAAAATGGACACCCAGAGGCGAAACTCATGGACGTCGGCGCCCCAGGTATCGGGGACGAGATTGAAGTCGGAAAACCGAGGCTTCCCCTTCAGCGTGACGCTCCTGATCCTCGGGAACCGGCGAGACGGAGTAGCAGTTCCTGATGAATACGTGGCGGCGGGACCAGCTATCGGCGGCGTACCTCTCCATGCCTCGCGTGCTCCCTCCCACTTGCGTTCTCAGTCGTCCAACTGCCTATTATAAAGTGCTGCACTGCAAATCAAACACCATCTCAACTCCAAAAGATATTATTGTTGGAACTCGATCGATAGGGTAATTATAAGAATGGAGAAAACACTAGGAATTGAGGTCGTCCCTTGGTCGACCATGGCCATGATCACCATCTCTTTCACAATACTCGTAAGTAGTAACTACTAGTCTTCTCATCATATCAATATTGAAAAGGCCGTCAAAGTACTCCTCGTCTGGCCGGCTGCCTCCAGGACCATGGGCGCTGCCCGTGATCGGGAACCTGCACCAGATGGCCATTGGATCGTTGGTCCCACACCGGCGGCTGAGGGACCTGGCCAAGCAACATGGGACGAGCTTATTTGATTTTCAAGATTTCAATACGCCGCCGATAGCTGGTCCCGCCGCCACGTATTCATCAGGAACTTCTACTCCGTCTCTCCGGAGATCGTCGCCCGCCGGTTCCCGAGGATCAGGAGCGTCACGCTGAAGGGGAAGCCTCGGTTTTCCGACTTCAATCTCGTCCCCGATACCTAGGGCGCCGACGTCCATGAGCTTCGCCTCTGGGTGTCCATTTTTATAATCTATTAAATTTTATTAAATTATTAATATGGTAAATTATATAGACAAAATAAGTGCAATGATGAGGTATAAAGAAAAAATTATTTTTTTTTATTTTTTTTAATTTCCACGTCATCTAGTTAACGATCAAACTTTATAGTTGACTGCCACGTAGGAAAAACTTAACGGAGTGTAACGGCCGGTGACCAACCGTGAAACGATTCGTAAAGTTAGTGGCGAATAAGAAAGAAAAGTAATTCGGGTGGCAAACGTGAAAGATTTGTATAATTTGAGTGACCAAACGTGTAATTTAGCCTTTGTAGAAGTGTAACCCGAGTAACTTGGAGACATATATGACAATTACCTTCAATCATCACCTGCTATCCAATTCAATAGTCGAATATGATAACAATGGTTGGTCAGACTCTTCACTACTTGACGAGGCCGTATGCACATGAAACACTGGGAACGGCCTCTTCTCTGGAAGACTTGGAAACGGTGCTTCGAAGTTCAGAACCTGAATCGCCTGCCTGATCGACGCCCTCTGTGATGAATCAGGATGAGCACACCACAAACCCACCACCATCAAGCATTCCACTTCTCTTTCGTCGAATTCCACGAGCCTCCCGTCAATGGCGACACTGTGATTCCCATTCCCATACAGTTCCCAAACCCATTCAACCAAACCCATCTCCAGGCCGTCCTCGATGTAATCAACCACTCTCCTTCCCGTGACAATCTCCAAACACACCACCCCAAAGCTGTATACATCCGATTCCTTGCTAGCTCTTCCGTTGCTAATGTACTCCGGAGACATGTATCCAATGGTTCCAGCCAACCTCGTCGTTTGAGGTCCCAGCTCATGATCAACCAGTCGAGCCAGCCCGAAATCCCCAAGCTTGACGTTGAATCCGGAATCGAGCATAACATTAGCTGCTTTGATGTCGCGGTGAACCACGCATTGCTCCCATTCTTCATGAAGGTAGAGCAAAGCAGAGGCCAAGCCCAGAGCTACTCTGTACCTTTCAGGCCATCGAAGAGGATGGCTCCCGGTGCTGATACAGTTTGCAAAGAGGTGTGAATCGAGACTGCCCTCTGGCATGAACTCGTAAACAAGCAAGAATTCGCCTCTCTCGTGGCACCAGCCTATGAGTTTCACCAGATTTCTGTGCCTTAACCTGCTGATCACCTTCACTTCAGTTATGTACTCCTGGATCCCTTGTGCAGAACGCCTGGAGAATTTCTTCACGGCAACTGGGATATCCAGATCCTTGAGAAACCCTCGGTAAACCCCTCCAAACCCTCCTTCCCCCAATTTCCTGTCGATTGAGAAGTTGTTCGTGGCCGAGACGAGATCGTTGTAGGGAACCCACCTGGGACCTGCGCCTTTGGAGAATTCGACATTGATGGACAACAAACTCACTCCTTCAATCGTTTCCTTCTTCTTCCGGCTCCGACCCACGCCATCCGCAATCACTTTTGCTGCTACGGCGAACCCTAATGGCACAGCAAGAAGAACCAGGAGGACTTTCCTCTCGATATTTGCCACATCCTTCTGGTTGATTTCCAGGGTGGAGCTGAAATTCCACCACAAAAGCTCCTGATCCCCTGGGAATTGATTTGTGGTAGCAGTAAACCCAACGGCGACCCATTCCGGCAGAACTTTCCGCAGATCGATTCGATAGGAGAGACTCGAACTCTGGTCTAGAACAGAGGCGTAATTCCAAGACACAGAGAGATTGTGGGTGCTGGCCGTGTAGTTGATTTCCACCACGATTGGGTTCGCAGAGAACGAATCGACCTCCCAGGGAGCAAATACCGCGGAAGAAATGGAGTTGTTGTTGATCCCAACGTGGCGGAACGGAGGATCCCAAACTGCATTCACGAAGGAGTCGAATTCGACATTGACGACTTTGTTGGCCGGGGAATAGGTCCGGTAGGTGAAGTTGTAGAGACCCATGTAGCCGCCGGCGGAGTTGGTAGGGACGGGGAAGCCGAAGGGGGCGAGGAAGAAGGAGATTCCGCAGGGGAGCTGCTGGGTGCCGGGTTTGGCGGCGATGGAGAAGGAGAAGCGGGTGCGGAAGTCGGAAAGGTTTCCGGTGGCGGAATCCCAGAGTGGGATTTTGTCGGCGTAGGTTACCCGGCTGACTTCGTTTTTGTGGTGGGCGTTGGTCAGTTTGAGGACGCCGGAAGCGGCCGCGGCGCCTCCCTCGCAGGTTATTGTGGCGTCGTTTGGATCGAAGGTTGGTTTCTGGAATGTGAGGGAAGCGACGGAGGATGAGGAAATCCAGAGGTGGAATACGATGAGCCGAAGAAGAAGGATGAATGGTGGAAGTACCATTTTGGGTAGATGGTGAACATCGATGAGATGCGGTATCACTGGTTAGAGAACGTCCATTGATCAAAGATTTCATGTCGACTACTGGTAGCAGGAGATAACCATTATTGAGTATCAAGGTCAACGACTGTGATTGTATAATTGGTATTGGATGGATTTTCTTCCCACTTTTTTCTTTCGTTCACATTGTTTGACTTTCATATTATATATGGAACTCGACCTCGGGAAGAGCTGAGAGCTAATATACTAAGAGGTAATGCACTCAGAATATCCAATATAGTTATGCTGCTTACACAATAAGCTGTGAGTATATACTCATAGAGACAGATTGTTGTCCACGTCACTGAGTCGTGATCGGAAGGTGGTGGAGCAATGGTGCCGGTTTGTGAGGGTGGAGAGATTGATTGGCTCAGCTGGCCAAATCCAATTTCACCTATCAAGAAAAGTGGGTCCACTTTTTTCAAATAAACCCACTTTCTCACTTCTCTCTCCACCATTTTGTCCATTTCTTTCCTCTCTGCAAAAATAAAAAAAGCTTCCTCTTCCCTTTCTCTCTCGCACAAACTTTCTCACTTCCTCTCAAGAATATGAAGACGGCGACGGCTGGTGCACGCGATGGTCCTTGACGGCGATGAAGGTTTGAACGGCGACGGTTAGTTTGGGTGCGTGCGGCGGCTGGTTTGACAGCGACGGTGCAGACATGGGGTGCGCGCGAAGGAACGACCGGTTTGACGGCGAGGAAGCGACCATAGTTTATTGACGGCGGTGCGACGATCCTTGACGGATGTAGGCTTCTTCTCCTTCCTTTATTCATGATACGAATGTTTGTTTGCTTCGATTCGAGTTAGGATTTCATGGATTCGACTGGATCTAGGTTTTTCTTTTCCTTCGATTTCTTTTTCTTTGATTTTTTTCATGGGTTTTCTAGATTTGTTTTCTGGTTTCATGGAAACCGCCGGATCTGGATTTTTTCTTTTGCTTAGTTATATTGGATGGGTTTTGTGGATTTGTTTTCTGTGGCATGGGATGCGAGTTGTTTTGTGGGTTTGGGATATCATTATAAACTTGCCTGGATAGTTTTATTTAGTATCTGGATGTCAATTCATTGATATTAGTTTTGATAAGTAGCGATATCAGTTGTATACTATCCTGGATATTTTTTTATGTATCCGGATATCACCTCATTGATATTAGTTGTCATCTTTAGGGATATTAGTTTTATGATAGACTGGGTTTTTGTTTGACGAATGTGGATATGACTTTATTGATATGATTTCAGAACGTTAGGGATATTGTTCATGTGAAGCCCAAATATTAGTTAGCTTATGTCAGGATATTTGTTTGTGCAGGAAAATCAAAATGGCAAGAATTGGTTCGTTTTATGGTTTATATTACTTTGTTTCATGCTTGATATTTGTTCTTTTCATGTTGGATATTAGTTTGATGTACATTGATTCGTTTTATGGTGGATATTAGTTCATTTCGTGCTAGATATTTAGTTAGTTTCATGTTGGATATTAGTTTTGTAATTTACTGGCCTGATATTAGGTATGTCGTTGGTGGATATTGTTTTTGGTTTGTCTGGATATTACTCTGGATGTATGGATTATATTTACCTTATATTAATTCTGTGTGGCGGGGATATCAGTTGATTGATACCTAGATATTTATCTATGATTCCAGGGATATTAGACAATGGCAAGAACTAAAACAAAAGTGAAGAGACCGCAACTAAGAGAAGGACCATCCCAACCTCGTCGTAGCATGATCGAAACATGGGGGGCTCGGAGGGACATGATCAAAAAGATTATCGAGAGTTTGATCAAGCAAGACAACATTTGAACTATTCCTTGTTTGTTTTTTTTATGTGGTTGTACTTTTTTGGATTTTAGATTATGGGATTGCCAAGTTGGAATGATATTAATACTAGTTGTATCGCGGTTTGTCGAAAAAACAACTTTATTTTATATGGATTTTTTAAAACTCAATATCAACACAAACAAACTTAGATAAACATCCACACAAAACAAATATCCACACCACCCAGACTAATATCTCACAGTCTAATACCAATATCCAGTCGGTCCATAATTAATATTCTCACCATCACAGACTAATACAGACTACACATAAAATAATATCTGACCATCGCGAATTAATACTCACTACACGGGAAATACCTACACATCGCAACCTAATATCCTCCCATCACATAGTAATATCTTATCACCACAGACAGATATCAAATCATTCTACATTGTGTTCATATCCATTTCCACAACATCATCTTCTAAACCCTAAACCAAAACAACTCTCACTCTAAACCCTATAAAATATTCATACCATCCAAACTAATATATCACTGTCTCAAACCAATATCCAGTCTTTAAAAATGTAATATCTCACCATCACAGTCAAATATCAACAATACACAGACTGATATCTCATCGTCGCAAACTAATATTCAACTACACAGACAAAATATCGAACCACCATACATTGTGTTCTAAACCACGAACCCTAAACTCTAAACCCTAAGTAGGTCAAGTGGATGTAGTTGTAATTAGTTGGTGGGTGGCATTAAATGCTCAACATCTCTCTCATGTGAACATTCATCAAAAGAATCAAAAGTATCAGATGGTGGGCCATGCTTTTCTCTCTCTTTTGTCAACTCAGACAAGATATTAGTTCGTGCACTTTTGGATATTTATTTGTCTCGGCTGCATACGAGTTATCTCAACGACTCCCTTTCTCAATCCCGCCCAAATCAAAGGTGGACTCCCTTAAATAGCTCACTTAAATGAGCCATGACTGGGCTAACCCCCTCACCCTTGGATTAGAACTGGGCCGACGTGGACAAATCTGGGCCTTGTGAGTATCTACTCACAAAACACCTTTTGAGCAGATTAACTTTTTCGCAAAATATCAACCTAGTTATTCTGCTAACTTGAAGATTCGTTAGTATATACTAACTAATATCCAAAATGTATGAACTAATATCCAAGTCTGCTAAGTTTCTAAATTGTACATATTAGTATTCAAAACATCACAAACTAGTATCCAGATAGCATATACCAACCAATATCCACAATCAACCAACTAGTATTCAATATGGATACTCTTATGTGTTATATGAATACTAATTATATGCTGTTTGGATACTATTCTGTGTTGTCTAGATATTAGTTTGTGAATTTGGGATAGTAGTTGATTCATGGTGGATATCAGTTAGCAAACTTTGAATACTATTCTGTGCTCTCTAGATACTTTAGTACTTGGATATTAGTTAATGTATTTTGGATATCAGTTAGTATCTGCTAACGAATCTTCAAGTTAGTAGATTAACTTTCCCCTCTGAATATAGTCCACCACTTACTATCTCGAGGATAGTCGGAAAAAATCCAAAAGTATTATCGTTTGAATTAATTTTTTTACAAAACTACCATTTAACCCCGAAAAATTCCAAAAAGTTGTAGTTCATAAGAAGTTATGCGAAATGAAAAAAACATTTCATGTTGTTCGAATTTTGGAGCATAAAGTTATGATTGTCCAAAGTTTGACGAAATCGGAAAAAGCTCGTTCGGGGTAGCAAACGACATTTTTCGGGACGAAAGCGAGATTGAACTGCCTTCGGAAGTTTGCGGCTTACAAGATCTCGAAAAATTATGCGAAATAAAAAAAAATTCGCTACGATCGGATACGCGAACAAAAAGATACGCTCTTTTGAAGTTTCCACCTAGGTTAGAAAAAAAAATTATGGACCAAACCGCTAGATGGGGCAGAGGTTTTGGGTCAGACCGGTCTGACCGGGAGCCGTCAATTAAACCACCCGCTACCCAAGCGGTTTTAGTCGAAAACCGCGCACCCACCCAACGGTTTTCGAGTGAACCACAGGGTGGGGTGGCGGTTTTTGAGAAAGGGTAGTATTTTTGAATTTTTTAGGGGTAGGGTGGTAGTTTTGTAAAAAAAAATTAAACAATGGTACTCTTGAATTTTTTCCAGGATAGTCCTCCACTTCTATCCAATGGCTAATAAAAATACCCCACTAAATTAAAGGTTAAATTGATAGTGGACTATGGGATCTATCGCCTACGGAATGAAAAGCAACTGACAAGTGAGGAGAGCCTTTTGTTTCTAATAAAATTTAACTTACACATATGGTATACAAGTTGTATATGTATATTCTGGTTGCGTACAAATCATATTTGTATTGAACAAAAATCATATTTGTACTGAACAAAAATACACATTCGAAACACATATTTGTATTGAATAAAACATATTTGTATTGAAAAAAATTCATATATGTGATTTGTGTATTCGTAATTCTTACAACTTGTATTCAGAATGAGCATAACACTTAGTAGAAAACATATTTGTACTGATTCCAAAATATATTTGTACTAAATAGAAAATATATTCCACATTTCCCAGAACTTGCATCTCATACTTTCACTCTTTTGTCAGCTCCTTTTTCAGTATGTGAGCCCAAAAAATGAGGAATTTTACACAATGCTATATAGCATTGGTGCTATAAGTTTTTGCCTTTATGGTACAACTTGAAATTGTACCTTTAACATTATGGTACAACTTTAGATTGTACCTATACTTTTTGTACAAAT